GAGGTAGTTGACCCAGCAAGTCAGCAACAGAGCCAGGAACAAAATCCAGGTGTCCCAGCTTTTTTTAATTGCTTTACTTGCTTCAAACAGTGGAGGTCTGGAAACACTTTGTAAGATGCCAGGCTATCCCATCTCTTCTTTGCCTTGTAGAGAGAAGCATGATGATTATTGCATGTCAGAGTAGTTTGGGGTTAGATACAAGAGAGGAACCCTCACTATTACGCAGATTATCAACTGAAAACATACTCAAAGGAAGTCAGCATTATTGCAACTGAGCAAGAACAGAGCAAAGATGGAGTTTTGAGCATGTATTACTCAGTATACTGGTACCAACAATACTGGAACAGGAGCGCAGATATTCCAGTATATGAAAGAACTGATGAACAGGGGTAGACAACAGTCCATTCTGTCACTCCACATTGTATCTTTTTCCCACATGAAGGGAAAAAAATCAGTAAAGACCGCAAAAGAATTGAATGCCTCAGAGCTCTTTCAAGATGAAAAGTCCTTATTCTTAACTCTAAGAAACAAGGTAGTCAGTTCTACAGAGGCTCAGCATTTATTATCCCTTCCCTGTGACATCCACTTTTCCCAACAAGCAACAGCCAGCTTGAACCATTTCCATTCTGCTGATTCAGTGCCAAGCTCTCAGTTCATTTGATGCTTTAAGTAAACCACATTTGCAACTCCATTACACAAGTGTCACTGCCCATCACCAGTAAACAGCTAACCACGTGAGGTTCTTGATGACACCTAGCAGTCTAATTTCTATTAAGAAAAAAATGAAGAAATGGCATGGTTGCTCATGCAGGAACAGTCTAACTATGGAGCTGTACTCAAACAGCACATTTGCCTCAGACAAAGAGGTTCTCTGCAGTCAGAGAAAGTGCATTTCTACTCTGTGCCAGCCAAATTACAGTGGATATGCAGAATAACCTTATGTAAGTTTCAAGATGCAAGAAGAACCTTCTAGTGTGGGGAGTATGACAAGAAGTAGTCACATGAACAGATTTAATGGAGATGAAACACAAGCTCAGACTGAAAACCAGTTTGAGTTGGGAACTGAGTATACAGTTGCTTAACAGAATAAAGCCAGCAGCTATATTATATCAGAGCTGTAAGTCCACGCATGCACAGATGCATAGCGGAGTCCTGCTACCAGGTCTCTGTCTTCCCACACAAGCAAAACCCCAAATAAAGACACCACACACCCCATCCCCAAATGAAGCAAGATTTATGAAAGCTTCCAAGCTTTAACTGCATGCGTACTGAGACTCAAAGCACAGTTTGATGCTTAAAGCAGATAGTGCTGCAGAGTGTGGGTTGTCATCAACTGCACTGTTCTCATCCCAGAATACTATTCTATTCACCAAGTTAGAGGTCATGAGGTCTTCTACAGTCTGAAAAGTGAAGGAAGAAGTACCTGTCTCACCTGCTTACAGTTACACTAATCCACTTTAATTAACAGCCAGAACACAGTCTGGCTCAAGTCATCAGCCTCAGTCACATTGCTGTTAAGATATCATTTGCGCATCTGGGCAACGACACTTCAAGATGCAAGTCAGACAGCTGAACAGCTTTCTCTGAACCTCTCAGTTCAAAATGTTGTCTCTGCATAGACTAAACAGCTAGCACAAACTAAGCTCATTCAGATAAGCTCCGTTTATGAAAAGGGCACTGTTTAATCCTGATTACACCATAAACTTGCTTTAGTTTTTCCAACACTAAACAACCTGGTTTGGATGTAGTAAACAAGGCCTGTTGCACTCCTGCTTCATGAAGGCAGAGCTCCCTGGAAGGTAACAAACATGATATATAAAACACTTCTGCACAAATACTAAGTTTGAGGAGCTGCAGCCTGTCAGAACCCCAGAGAGGCAATATAGGCAGGATCTCCTAGCATTAGGAGATAGCAGAGCCCATCCAAGAACGAATAACCACAAGACAACTTCAAATAAGTGAACCATTAAGCAAGTGTCCTTGTTTAAAGGGCCCAACAATCAGCTAGACTCTGGTACACAAATTACACAGCTTATTAGCTTTTGACGAGGAAAATACTTTCCCCCTCCACCCTCAGTTCTGCAAGGGAATATAGCAACAGGCTCCTTCAAGGCAAAGCAGTTGGCTTAGTCCCATATTCATTCTGCCTTTTTACATACTGTAAAAAAAATGACTCAACACATGACCATTTCCAATCAAGTCCAGGAGACAAACTGCTTGTCATCATCTTTTAATATAAACATTAAGATATAAAAACACTGAGCCTTCATTCTCAAGCCTGCTTGCCACCATCAGGTACCAAGCTTAAGCTTCTAGCTCCTGCAAGAAGCAGGGAACACTTGGCTCTCCACTAAGATAGTGGGCATGAGACTTGGGGGTAGTGGAAGGATGAAAGAAGCCTTCCACACTTGAGGCCAATTCCAAACACTGTCCTGCAGCCTTGCAAAGTATCCCAAGAGTAGATTTCTCCTTTTGGACAATTAAGCTTCATTAGAGACAAGTTTAAAAATAAAGAAAACCTAAGAAGAGGTTTACATCAGCCCTAACATAAGAGGCAGCTTATCTCTGAAAGGAAACTGATTATTTTTTCCTTTATATGAACAGATAAGAGTTTAACCAGAAAAAAAAGAAGTAAGCAACGGTTAAATCTTCACAAGCTATACTCATTATAGTACACTTACCTCTGGACATCTATTTTAGTCACATGCAGGAACACAGGGGAATTACAAAAAAAGGCCATGCCAAATAAAGCCAGATTACATCAGCATAGCAAACAAGTAATTTTAGGAACCAAGCTCCAAATTCTAAGGAGTTTCACTCATTTCCTTAGTTTTATAGAGACAGTGGTTTTCAACCCACAATTCGTAGAGTGCTAGGAACCCAAAACCACCTGTATGTGGTCCATTAAAAAAAAATCCCACTATTAACCTCGTTCCTTTTCTTATGTAAACTCATAGGTAGTGAATACCACCCTGTTTCCTTAGGAGGAATACAACTCTACACCAGACTCATCAGCCTGTACTATATCACCGCAACGGCACGGTTAAAATTAGTCCAGCATATCCATGTAAGAGTTAAACTGATGGCGTTCATAGAATTGAAGCTGTAAAAAAACGCGGGGGGGGG